AATTATTAAAGTCAAAGAACAGATAAAGGGATACATTGTCCCAATGGTTATTTAATACAGCAAACTAACATATGATTCCAAAGCACCAAATATTAGAGGAGAAAAATTGAAAAAGGAAAGAGAAGAGGGAATAGCATTCGCAGTGTTGATATGTCAAGTGTTTTTCCTCTTTGGTTTCCATCCCGTGCAATTATACACTTTGCTCTTGGTAATATCAAGAGTAAAGGAATTAATATGTAAGAGTAATGTGACCCAGGTGTTTTGTTGAACTTCGGTAGTGATGAAATACTAACCCTGGTTTTGCGAGCTCGTTCAGCCCCCATGCGGGCAATGTCCCGGTTGCTGAGACCAAATTCTCCGTACTCGAGAAATTTCTCCACCTCCCTCTTGTCCTGGAGCACGAAAGGGTTGCTGAGAGACTTGCCCTTATTCTCTACAATTTTCTTAAGTTTGCGGTAGTGGTTGGTGCGTTCCATCTGCCTGTTTCTCTCCCGCACTTCCCACAGCCACTCGGTTTGTTTGGGGTCCTGAAGAGGGTCGTGACACCCAGTTCACGGCCCCAACCACCACAGGGCAGCACCAATAGTAGCAACAGTTATGGGAATCCGATAGCCACGGTTGTGATCGGATGAATTGGCAAAAACCACAGCATCAAATAAGTCAGTGTTTACAAATTCAATTTTCAGCCGAATAAAAAAGCCAATTTTGTAATAGCGTTAAAAGTTTGGAATTTTGCATAATTTACGTGGCAAATTGTATTTATGATGTAAATCAGAAGTTCACAATAGTTTTTAGATTAATTTAAAATTGTTGAGTGAAATCATGAAAATCGTACAGTAAATATCAGTCAAGATAAGAATTGATTGAAACAATAATGTACAGGTTCATAATTATTTCCCAACACGAATAATGTGATTCGTTGAAAAATGTTGCAAAAGATAAGTTTACATTAGTTTCCAAAGATATCAATTTTGCATGGCATTCCACGAATCAAATTTTATGTGATGTGATAGGAGTGGTATGGATAACGTTTTGAGTATAACGTAGCAGCCCAAGTCACCAATTTCAAGAATTAATAAGATTTTTTTAGAGATAATTATGTTTAAATTTGATTTTTATTGGTTGGCGTCCAGGGAGTGAATTAGCACCGGTTTCAGTGTTTTCCAGGGGAGGGATGAGTTAATTCCAGGTGAGTTGGGGGCAGCAGAGGTGAGGTGGCCAGGTGAGCATTCATTGAGAGCAATTCACAGCAGCAGCAGCAGCAGCAGCAGTAGCAGCAGCATGAAAGAGAGAAGGAGGGGAGGATAAGAAAAAATTATTAGTTGGGTTCCTCCTTGGTGGGGTTACCTGGTTAAATTTGGGGGGAATTTTGATAGTGTCAGTTGGTTTTAAAATCTTGAGATGGTGCATTATGTGGTGATAATGGTGTTATGCTATGAAATTTTTCGTAAAAACTGTTTTGAAAATAAAAATTTGATTTCTTTAAGTAGTAGCTACAAGTGGCTATGGTGTTAGATGGTAGTACAAATGTTGATGATGGTATTAGATGGTAGTACAGACGGAGATGATGGTGTTAGATGGTAGTACAGATGGTGAGGTGTTAGATGGTAGTACAGATGGTAGTACATAGTGGTGATGGTATTACATAGATTGCAGCACCGATGGTGTTTGATGGTAGTATACGTACAATGGTGATGATGGTGATAGATGGTAATACAGATTAGTAAGTAAATTTATTCAGGTATACACAAATGCAGTTACATTGATTATCATACAAAGCAGCATATGTGTAGAGAACCTGGGATAACCCAAAAAAAGTCCAAGTGACTTATTTACAGAGTGACTTATTATTACATAATGTAGGAGATAGTATCTTATTATTATACTATAAAGGATATATACTAGGTATAAGGTAAAAAGATTTATCTACATTTATATGTGTGTTAGCTAAAAAAATATAAAATCATTCTCCTCCCTCTCTGTCGCTACATTCATTAGGTACCTTTCGGCTCTTTTCTTGAACTGGTTCATGCTATGACTGACTTTGACATGTGCAGGTAATCTGTTCCATTCCTTTATTGTTGTACAGTAAAAGGTGTTTGAAGCCTGGCCACTGACTGTGGCTACAACAAAGATGTGCTCTCTCCCTCTAGTACTATGATTGCTTCGGTTCCCAACCTTGACAAAATTAGCAGCAAGATATTCTGGACACTGTGAGAAATTTTATAAACTTGATTTAACTTTATTTATTTTACTCTGTCTTCAATATTCAGCATATCCAGTTGTTGTTATTCATCATGGCCTACATGTTCTCTTGGACCCAGGTCCAGGATGAATCTTACCATTTTTTTCTGGTGATTTGCAGTCTATCTTTCAGTTTTTTTTTTCTTTTTAATTTTTTTTTTTGTCAAGGCAGAGTATCACGAAAAGCAAGCGTAGTCCATATGACATTGTGTAAGGGCTAGACATAGGGTCCTGCGAGCCTCAGTAGGTAGACACTGTGCTTGTCTGTAGAGGAACTTCAGTCTGACATTCGCTTTCTTTACTGCACTGTTCCCTATCAGCTCTCCTGACATGCATGGGTCAAAGGGAATTCCCATATATTTTACTGAGGAAACTGATGTGATGGGTTCCCAATTACACCGGACATTAAAATTATTTACCCTTCTCAGTTTTTGTTTCGTGACAAAGATTATGGCTTCCGTTTTCCCGAAGTGTAACGATAGTTTGTTGTCTACTAACCATTTGCTGCAGGACTCCGGTTCCAGTGATATTACATTAGCTATATCTTGTGGTTCTTTACCTGACACTAACAGAGCACTGTCATCCGCATACAGTAGGAGTTTACACTTGACACTGATGGGCATGTCGTCTACATAACATAGGAAAAATAAGGGACCCAAAATACTACCTTGGGGAACTCCACATGCTATCGGCAGGGGTTCTGATTCTGTTTTGTTGATTTTTGACAATTTGTTTCCTGTTGTTAAGATAGGACTTAAACCAGTCTATGGAACCTTTGCCAATAGCTTGAAGTTTCTTACATAATATAATGTGGTTGACAGTATCGAAGGTCTTTTTGAAGTTGAAGGTTACCATTCCTATGAGGTTCCCTATCGACATTTCAGTTTTCATGTAATCCATCATATTAATTAGTGAGGTGTCGGTTGAGTAAGATCTCCTAAAGCCTGAATGGTAACTATGAAGAATATTGTTGGCAGTAAGAATGATGTTAAGTGGAGGGGATTGGAACGACGGTCGTTAGAATGGTGATGGTAATGATGCAAGGTGGAGGGGATAGGTGCGACGGTCATTAGAGTGGTGGTGGTGGTGGTGATGATGAAGTCATGACTGTGGTACTAATGATAGTGAAAATAGTGGTGGTTATAAGTGAGTGCTAAGGCATTACTGAAAAAAAGCGTTTTGACAGCGACTTCACAATCACTAAGCCAGTAACGAGGTTCAAAGCGCCTTCAAGACCTTTCTGAATATGCATATTTGCTTATGCTCAACGGAATCAGGCAGTTATGTGATTACGAGTGGAAAAACTATATCATATATACATACACGCATCTTGTAAAGGGACAACAACACACTGTACGAACACAGTTACCACTGAGAATATACTGTGTATTATTTTCACAGGAAATTCAAACCCATGTCCGTAAAACAAAACAAAAAATTAAATAAAATGAAATTAAACCAAAAATAAGTGAATAAAAATATTATTAGTACCTCAAAATGCAAAAATAAAACAATGTAAATTTAATAAAATCTCAAAATTCAGAAAAATTAATCAAAAAAATGTATTACATATTCCACTCTAAGACGCAAGCAGCTTCTGGCTGGTAAGGGAGGTGGGATTAACAAAAAAAATTAAATAACTAAATTTCTTCACGACTAAATAAGAAATGTGAATGGATGAAAAATTGTACGAAGTTCCAAATAAAAGCTACAAATATTAGTGTCAAACAGAGAGGAGGAGAAGAATAGCAATGGAAGTAGATGGAACTGAGAAAGACACTACAAGCACCCCCCTAATGAGCCAGAAATGCACGTGTACTTAGGTGTGTGTGTGACTGGGTCTCAAACCCACACTACCTACTGGGAAGGCTTTCTCTGGTCTACCAGCAATCAGTAACGCCTGCATAACATTCCACGCCTCCTGAGGGCAGGGAGAAACGGTGACCTCAGGTTAACTAGCTACCTGGCTCACCTCCTGCCGGTAAGGATCTTTGCGGACTCGGCAGGCCTTGGGGATGCAGTAGAATGTTTACAGAAATAAAAAGCAAAGGTAGACTAGCCATATTATCTTCTAAAAAAATGGAGGTAATGAAAAAGTACAAATGTTTATAAGGATAAAGCACAGCCTTTCCCAGGCAAAACAATATTAGCATATATATATATATATATATATATTTTTAATATATATTATATATATAATATATATATAATATATATATATATATACATATATATATATATATAATATATATATATAAAAATATATAAAAATGTGTGTGGTTTTGTGTTTTGTGTTTTGTGTGTGTGTTGGGGTGTGTGTGTGTGTGTGTTGTGTGTGTGTGTGGCCAAAACAACCACTGTGAAAGAATAGTGAAATTTCGCGTGCTTTCGTGACCTTCTCACATTATCAAGAAATCATAGTTCCTTGATAATGTGAGAAGTCACGAATGCGCCCTTTGGGAAATTTCACTATTCTTTCACAGTGGTTGTTTTGCATGTTCTGATATTACCTGTTCACTGTGATCTTGTTGCATATATATATATATATATATATATATATATATATATATATATATATATATATATATATATATATATATATATATATATATATATATATATATATATATATTATATATATATATATATATATATATATATACATATATATATATATATATATATAATATATATATATATATATATATATATATATATATATATATATATATATATATATATATATATATACAGAGGGGCATTAATTGTAAATATTACAAAAAAACACAATGCTACATAAATCTAAGATGAAAAAACTGCTATTTATATTACCAAATTAATAACCATAATTGATCGTCTTCCACCATTTTAATGTTATATTGACAAGTCTTGAGTTCAGTCAGGTAAAGTAGGGCTGCCCTTTTTTTTACCCCTCTTTGCATTGTCTTTTCTAAAAAACTTTTTTAAAGAGAAGGTAAATCTGTCTGACCTAGCAGGAGGGATGCTAGCCAAAGCTTAGTAAGTGCTGACGCACACAGAGTTAATCTTGTTGGTCAATGTGGACTGCAGGATGAGGCAGTCACGTCTCGACAGTGATGGAGAGAAAATCGGAAGAAATGAAGTTGGAAGGAGGAATGAGGGTGGGAACAATGGCGATGAGAGTAAGGAGGGCAAAGAGGAGGTGAACAAATAAGGGAGGGAAGAAAGAAAGGGATATAGAGACAACTATATATAATATGTATAGAATTTTTATTATTATTATTATTATTATTATTATTATTATTATTATTATTATTATTATTATTATTACTTACTGGTTGAATGTTGATTACCATCATTATCGCTTATACGAATAAAGGAGGGTACGAACGGAAGTAGAAGTTTTAATTCTGAGGAAGATGCGTGTCTGAGTAATCTGATTAACCTGTCTCAGGGAAATTGGTTAGAAGGACTCGAGTCCTGGAGGTGAGTTGCACGGAGCCTCTATTCTGAAGAGGATGGGATTTGAATCAGAGATCATATGAATTTATACATATTACACTATATATTATTATATATATATTTTTATTATATTATATGTAATTGATTACCATCATTATTGCTATATACAATAAAGATACGAACATAAAGTTTATAATTATAGAAGAGTCGAGTAATCTGTTAATATTCTAGAAATTAAGATGAGCATGATGCACGAAGCACCACTCTGAAGAGGGATGGGATGAAGTTCAAGGCATTGTGACTATAACATATATCAAACTCTTAATTTCTCTATTCTTTCATATGTTATTTATTCATATATTAAATACTGTTATTGATTTATTGTATATATATACATATATATAATATATATATATATATATATATATATATATATATATATATATATATATATATATATATATATATATATATAAATCATCTGGCCTACGGTTGAGCACCAGGGCGCAGGAAGCCCCTGGTGTGTACGTCTTCAATACCTTCCCAGATGTGGGATGTTCAAATGATTTGCGATAGCTCTGTCACCCTCAGCTATGCATATTACTAACCTCTGGCACCGTAGAAGATACTAGTGCTGCTGGAAGTGCCAGGAAGAAAACTATATGTGAAACTGACTGGTTCTTAGAAAACTAAGATCCTAGAGGTGTGGTGAGGGGTAATGCCTCTTAACTACACTTTAATTAAACATATCTCGGATTTACCAGTTTGGTGAGCGTGCAGTGCAAATACTAAATTGCATTACTTGTATTTATATTCCTTCATGTCAAATAAGCCAGCTTTAAAGGATGATACTTCATTGCTTACTCTCAATGAGTTCACTACGGGATTATAAGATACCTGCCAGTTGTGCTGGATGTTCTGGTTGGTCAGAGTGATTATAATTATGGGGAGCGCTAAACCCCGTAGGATTATACAGTGCATGTGGGGGGATGGAAGATATTCAGTCTCAATTCAGGGAACCAGAGCACAGATCCAATTCCCTAGATCAAGAGCCTCTCACCAGCATCAATGAACCTCCCTTGAGGGGCAGTCCTGGACCCCTCAGACCCTCACGAGCCTCGGATGATCAACAACATACAAGAATTTGTCTTCTTTATGATTACTGAAAGCTATAGCAGAGTTATCATACTTACACTCTCTCTCTCTCTCTTCACTACCCACCGTACATAATGTAAACTATTTTATAAGAGTTTTGGTGATGGGAATAAATGGTCAATCAAAAGCCAACTGGTATACACTTCATTCCTCATTCTCTTGATTATTCTACTGACTGAGCTTTAAGCTCAGTCACTGTGCAGTTTGTTTACTCCTAGAGCTTGTGCTAGCCTCTGCTACCCCTCCGTTTCCTTGCTCATAATAGTGGTGATCACATCACCGATCGTTTGCCTGGTAGTCCACCTGTTGAGGAGGCAGTTGGTACTAGGCCAAAGCCGACTCAGGGAGAATCTGGTTCTCTTTCACTCGAATTAGCAAGTCTTATCATGGAGCAGACAGCAGAGTAGGGTAAAAACACGTTTTTACCAAAGAGAGATATGACAGAAAGAAGAAGAGGCAGTACCGTGGTTCCAGTGTTGAGTGTTTTGGTATACATAAATACTTGTCAATAGCGCTACGTTTTTTCTTCTGAAGCCTGAGCAATTTTTCGAATCGTTTGAGAATCAGCCCCGAGCGTGTCAGTGGCCGACTGGCACTAATACAGACGTAAGTTTAAGGTGAATAAACTTCAACCTGGGCAGTCGAATATGGATCTTTACTACCAGGTATAATTCAGTGGAGTTGGAATGGTGTGAGTCGAGTGCAAACAATATATTCAACGTATACATCGTACGAATGAGTGAATGATCGTGTAAATAAATATGAGTTTGAGTGTTTGTGATTGGGCACGTTTATGGTCTACAATCATTTAAAAAAAATCTAAGACAAGAGTTATTAATGTATCTCAACTCGTTTCAAAATCTGATCCTACTTTTGGTATACCACTGCCCAGGATGCGAACCACAGCAATCAACTGTCACCCAGGAACCAATTTACTAAGTAAACAGGGGCAGTAAGTGTACGGCAAGTGTATGTATCTCCTCTTACTTCTGACACACAGCAAATGTGATCGATTTACCGAATGGAATTTTAATCACTATTTCTTTGTACTCTCAGCGGAACAATTTGCTACTTTAGTGAAATATACACAACCTTCAAGTCTTATTGCTGTTAAAAATATAATGAAGATATGTACATCTTATATCTCTTGGTGATCAACCTGGAAGTAAAATAGTAATTAATCCAGAATGTTTGCAAAACCTCCCACCAGAAACTGCATTTCAGTGAGCAACACAAGACCTACGCTGAGTAAATACCATATACAGTCTATCAGACATATATACAAGATCCACATTCATCAGAATAAAAGAATATCGAAATGATTTCGATCTAATTAGCCACCCGTCTTAGGGTGATGGTCTCAAATCAAAAATATTTATTATCATAGAGTGAAAACCATGGTATGAGATACCGACAAGTGGTTTAAAAAGGAGATGCGAACAAACACTGGGACATAGACTTTCCTAGTATGAGCCAGTAGGCATGTTGCAGTGCAGGCCTACGGGCCCAAGCAAGGCAGGTCCTTATCAAAACCACTCACTCCCACCCACGCGTCTGTCCAACCCTTTCCCAAAGCTAATTTGCTCTAGTACCTCAGGTTCTAATTAAACCCATCCCTTTTCACTCATATAGTTATCCAATCTCGTTTCAAAGCTACTGAAGGTCCTATGTAATTCACAGGACCGGAACGTTTGCTAACAAATGTATCCTAGTATTTGTTCACGTCTCACTTTTACACTGTTTTATACTACTGAATGTGGATTATTCTTACAGATTATTTATGTGGCCAACGTATCACTCAGACAATATATTATATACAAGCCGTACTTACTAAAATCAATCTAGAGCAATCGACAGTGACAGTGCGATAAAGAGTTGGGAATTATTAGACTGTCGTCTAGACAAATATAATTTTTCGCCTGTCTAATATATTTTCAAGGACAATGGAACTGAAACTTCCCCCATTCTCCAGTCACGAAACTATTAATTCTAATATTAATTCTATCTGCTGTAAGGGGTAAGACGGCCAAGCTACCATGAGTATGGTAAGTCTCAATGACCACGTAACAGTACTTTATTCTAAGGAACTACTATGAATTATATAGGTCGTCTACTGTTGTGTCCTCTACCTCAACAGTATATTACAAATGGTTTGCAATACCGACAAGTTGATAAGTTAGACAAAAGTGCAATACTTCTATCAAGGCTGAGGGACTGATCACCTCAAAATTACCTCTTTATTTCCACTTCTACTGTCGTCAGTAATGAATCATCTCTGCATTTAGTTGATAAAGCCTGCTGTGTAGGTGGAGCGTTTAAACAACTGAGTTACCTATGTATTGCTTGAGTGTCTAACTACATCAACAGTGCTCAAATCCTCACCAAAATATATCCATGCATCTTATGCTGTTAAATGGAAATAAAAAATAAATGAAAGAGACCCAGTATTAGAAATATTTCAATAAATAAAGTACATAAAAGTAACATTTTTAAATATATAACAATAGAACAAAAGTAATTAGCTTGTACATATAAATTAAAATATAGTATAAAATATATTTAAAGTCCTAAATAATAATATGTTATCCCTAGGCACACAAAAAAAATATCGTAATGAAATGAGAAATAATATCTTCAGTTGTTAAAAGGTTCAGAGATAACGAAGAAAGATTGGAAAAGGAGGAAGGAATTTAGAAGTCCTGAAAAGTAGGGAAGGTACGAAGAAATATGAAAGAAGGATTCAAGAAGAATTATAGGATCCAAGAGAATTATAGGATCCAAGACGAATTATAGGATCCAAGAAGAATTATAGGATCCAAGAAGAATTATAGGATCCAAGAAGAATTATAGGATCCAAGACGAATTATAGGATCCAAGAAGAATTATAGGATCCAAGAGAATTATAGGATCCAAGAAGAATTATAGGATCCAAGAAGAATTATAGGATCCAAGAAGAATTATAGGATCCAAGAAGAATTATAGGATCCAAGAAGAATTATAGGATCCAAGAGGAATTACACGATCCAAGAGGAATTGCTGGATCCAAGAGGAATTACAGGATCCAAGAGGAATTACACGATCCAACAGGAATTACACGATCCAAGAGGAATTACTGGATCCAAGAGGAATTACAGGATTCAAAAGGAATTACAGGATCCAAGAGGTATTACAGGATCCAAAAGGAATTACAGGATCCAAGAGGAATTATAGGATCTAAGAGTAATCACAGAATTCTAAGTCAATACAGAATTAGGATCCAGAAATTTAACACAAGTGTGCTCATGATCCAAACAGAACCCTAAAGGAAACAAAAATGGAGGTCAGGCACCTAAAAAATAACGAAGATCCATCCGCTTAAACGACACAAAACGATTAAGCGAACAATTAACCAGTGGAGGAATAACCAACCAAGAGAATAATCAGAGACTTATAAAAGAAAGTATAGAGTCCAAGAGCAAATGATGAGGAAAAGGACCAGAGTATCATAGGAAACCAAAAGAATTAAGGGTCCGAAGATTTGATGAAGAGATTACACATCCAAAAAGAATTACGTCGGATTAAACCCGGAATTACACGATCCAAAGGAAAAGGAAAGAGAAATGATCCAAAGTTGGATGGAAAAACGTACAAATAGTTCAGGGTCCCAGAATTAATATCCAAGAATTACACGATCACAGGAATTACTGGATCCAAGAGGAATCTCTATCCAAGAGGAATTACCACGATCCTTGAGGAATTACACATCCACAGGAATTACTGGATCCAAGAGGAATTACAGGAATCAAAAGGAATTACAGGATCCAAGAGGTATTACAGGATCCAAAAGGAATTACAGGATCCAAGAGGAGTTATAGGATCTAAGAGGAATCACAGAATTCTAAAGTCATTACATCCAGTACAGAAATTTGAACACAAGTGGTGCCTCTCGGCTCAAAATACAGACGACCCAAAAGGAAACACAAATGGAGGTCAGAGCACCTAAACTAAAACGCAAGATTCATCCTGGCTTAAACGACACAAAACGTGAGAGCGAAACCAATAACCAGTGGAGCGAGTAGACACAACTCAAGAGAAATCAGAGGACTTAAAAAAGAAAGTAAACTGTCTAAAAGGAGCCAAATGATAGGAAAGGAGCCGGAGTACTCAATGGAAGCCAAATAATTGAAGAGCCGACAGATGTTTGAAGAGCTACAATATCAAAAGATACGTATAAACCCTGGAGATGTCACACGAGCCAAAGGAAAAAGAAATGTAGAAAAGCGCAAGTGGAGGCAAAAGACTTACAAATAGTCGAGGGTCAAAATTTTGCCAGTTGTACAGAATTCTTGGTAAAAAGATGACTCTTCTCATATTGAAATCTTCCACCCTTGACATTCACACATTGCTGATGATTATTAGCACCACTGAATAATTAACCAAATTTCTACATTGAGGAGAATTCAGTAAAGTTTTGATGGTCAACTGGGTCTTAGGAGGCAAAGCTGCCAAAAAGCCTGACAGAATGCAAAGCATGCTAGAAGCTCTAAGCGAGTCAGAAGATAAAACCTAATAACAATTTTCAGGTGTATCAACATTGGATTCATTGAAAACGAAAGAAAAAAAGAGATTAAGAGGCCCTCAAAAACACAAAATAGCAACGAATAGTAAACTCGTTAAAAATCATCTGAACAAAACTCGTTAAAATCATCAGAAAAATAAATCAAATTAAGAGGAGAGATCGAAACGTGAGGACCAAGGGAAAAAAAACAAAGAGATGAGAGAATACTTACCGCTATATCAGCGTACACACCGGTCCAAACATGCGGATGGCTCGACTGATACATAACCAGAGGCCTCGCCATCACCGGTATGTACTTGAGCACTTGTTCCCGCACCTCCGCCAGCGTAGTGACGTGAACGAAGTATCCTGGCACAGGGAAGGGAGAGTGTGTAGTAGACCAAACCTTACCACGGGCGGGGATAGAACCCGCGATCAGTCATAAAACTCCAAACCGACGCGCTAGCCACTGGGCCAATTGGGTTAGTATGGTGACTCGTGTATGTGTAAGTGTTGTTAGTGGAAGGAGGCAGATTATAGTTAAGATTCTTGTCCTTAACAGAGGTGCATTATACATAAGTCCATCATCATGGAAAATCCCAATGTTATGCAGTGTCTTTCGAGTTAAGATTAAATGTGCCCCAAAATAGTTTATAGAATAGAGATATTAAGTGGAGACATGAAATTTAAGTGCATTCGTTATTCCAAGAAATAATTTTAATTGTTACAGCAGATATGCAGATAAGAAATTTTAATAAAGTAATATTTGTGAATTTCCAGTTAATAACATTAAAATAATAATAATAATAATAATAATAATAATAATAATAATAATAATAATAATAATAATAATAATAATAATGCCTCATAAGACTAACAATAAAAAACGAAAATAAAGACTAACACCATAATTACTTATCCTCAAATTACCTTTATTTGCACAGGCCATCCAGTTCAGGTCCCTGACCTTGGTCTCCTCTCTGCCGATGAGGTAGGTAAACATGCGCACTTGCAGGTGCGGCCAGTTATACTTGGCGAAGATCTCCTCGAAGTTGTATGGAGCACCGTCTGTCACCACCATTATGGCCTGGTTACACTGAGATCCCTGACCGCTCTTGTTATACTTTGAGTTTTTCTGTTGGTAGTGGTGGTTTTTTTTAGTGAACGACCTCTGTTGTTCTTTATCTCACCCACACGTCCAAATGATTCTTTTTTTCAGTTTTTTTTTTTTTTTGAGGGAGAAATAGAGGGGTGGGGAGAGGGGGGGATACATTTTCATATAGAAACTTCTAATTGTTGCATGTGTGGCAAGTCAAGTTGCAGTGGTATCATAACTATGTATACTCATGCATTCTAAGATATATATATATATATAATATATATATATATAATATATATATATATATATATATATATATTATAATATATATATATTTATATATATATTATATATATATAAATTAATATATATATATATATATATATATATATATATATATATATAATATATATATATATATATATATATATATAAATATTTGAAATTTATAAAATATGAATATATAATCAATTACTTAATATAAATATAGATTATATATATATATAATCATAATATATATATATATATATATATATATCGAGTATATAAAATGACTTCCTAAACATCTCTATACCAAAATATGAAATGATATATGCATGACATCACTTTAAAATACAATACTTATGAGAAATTTGTTATATATAAACATAATACGTGATATATATATATATTATATATATATATATATATATATATATATATATAAATATATATATATATATATATATATATATATATATTATATATATATATATATATATATATATAATTTTGTACCTGTATATCCATGCAACTTTTATGCTTGAGAATATTTTCATTCATCATTATCTTAATAATTATTAGAATTGGGATTAGTGTTATTAGTGGAATAAATAGCAGAAGCATCATAATCATCATCATTCACAGCCTCATCATCACCGTTAATAATGTAACATGTATAAACAGAGCCATAAGTATTGTTAGTATCATCATACCATGATGGTGACAAGCAGTAGGCGCAGCAGCATCACCATCACCGCATTACCATCATCACCCAAAGCATCAGGAGGAGAACCACCAGCAGAAGCAGTAAGTAGGAGGTGCAGTAGAAACAGCGACATATTTAACAACGGCGTGTCGAACCGGTGGGTCCACCAGTTAACAGCGGCGGGTCCAGCCGTTACAACAGGTCAATTGTATCGAATGAGGGGGGAAAGGAGGGAAGGAAAAGTAATTCGTTATTAGCCTGTCAACTTCAGATATGCTCACCCTTAACAGCCTCAACTTATGCCATCTTCAACTGATAAATAAAGGTTATGAGAGAATTTTTGGGGTATACCCCTCGAATAGATAAAAGAATGTCAGTTAACATTAATACTCTTACAAACTATATTTCTTACTTATAAACACAAAACACGTTAAATCCATAATATGATTATTTTATACAAACCTGACATGCGCGGGGCAGCGTGAGTGTACACCTTGACAGTCTAGGTATGTAACTTAAGCGTAAATACTAGCTGGGGGATTTACAGTTCTTTGCTTTCTGATGAAGCTACAATGCAGCATCAAATATAAAGAAAAAGTAGTGTGAGAAGACTGGAGGGGCGATGCAATAACATTCCTTGACGCTTTTACTAAATGTCTGGATTTTTCTCGACAAACTCGAGTGTGGAAAGCAGATCTGCACAAAGATCTGTCTAGTTCTCTCTGAAAACTTCCTAGTCTGTTTGTGATCCATGGTGTCGCTGTGTCTGTGACTCCAACAAATGGCCTTTGGATCATTCCCCTTCACCCTCCCCTCTCCATAAACAGAGGATTTTTGTGACTATTATGCATGTGAGTCTTAGGTTTTTTTTTTTTTTTTAAGATGTCACGAAGTTCTCTATGGATTAACTGTTCTATACATTAAGTTTTGATGGTGTAAACGAAAAGTATATGTTTTGTCAAAAAAAAGTTTGACACGAACATTTGTTTCCGCAAGACACTAACAACAGAAGTTGATTTATGAGATATGTATGTGCACCCATGGCTATGTGATTATGCCATGTTGTAACATCACAACACTGGCAATGCCTGACTGTGGTGTTGCAAAATCACAACACTGGCAACACATGATAGTCAAGTGTTACATGTCATCTCTGGTGGATCCTGACTGCAGTATGCCACAACATAACACTGCCATAACTTAACTGCATTACATTGCACCGTCACAACATAGGCAATACCTGATTTGTAGAATGTTGCAAAGTTACAACACTGATTGAACCTTATTATGCCACGCTATAACTGAAAATGTTGCACTAGTACGATCCCCAGAAACATCGTAATTCTTTGCGAAGGCCATTTGTATGAAGGCGAGAGAGCGAGCCAGGAACGAAGGTATCACGACTGCCCCTAACACATGCAGGGAGTGCGTGTGTGCGTTGGAGCACAGCCTCGCGCGAACGCTGAGGCAGCCCACGAAAAAAAATATCGTAAGTGAGAAGCAAGAGCTGCATCTAACTACTGTAATATCCAAATATTGTACACCAAAGCAGTATCACTTAGGGGCTGTCCTCGCTAAAAAGAATGAGAGACAAAAAGGACCAGTTCTCTCAGGGAGGGAGCACAAGTGTGGAAGACAGTGTCCAACAATTATTACATTCAGATGGTGAGGTCGGGAGGGTGACTCAGCAAGATCAGCCCTCACTGGTGCATCATCCTCACTATTAACGTTTGTGGAAAGTGCGCTGGTTATGCTTCCTTACAGACTTTAAATCCCACAACTACATAAGCACAGTAACTGCATAGTTCTTGATCTCACGGTACAACGTGTGTTACAATGCTCTTACGTTTATATATATATATATATATATATATATATATATATATATATATATATATATATATATATATATATATATATATATATATATATATATATATATATATATATATATATATATATGGTGTAATAGCTTTCCTGTAAAATTTGAAAGTAATGCATTGCTTTGTTACTTGACAATAATATTTCTTATTGGTGATATGTGCAATGATCCTCGGTATTACTACTATTATTATTATTGTTACCTATTTATTAAAACAAATAGGCGCTAAACCCGTGTGGGTCATACAGCGCTGTGCATTAAACGTCAGAATTAGAATTTAAAACTGCTCTTAAAATGTACGAGATGTGATGAACACTTTGGCTCTGTACACTATCCTTTTAACCAGCTTACAGTATTGTTCTTCCCATTTAAAAAAAAAAAAAGTAAGCGGCCATTACTGGCAAGTGTGCTGGCACCCACTGTCTCTTCACGCGGCTCGTCTCCCCAAGAGGTCCCTGAGTTCTAAAAACATATTTAAAATCTAGGGCGGCAGCGGTGCAAAACTAAAGGTAAACAAAAGGTGGGGCCAACCCTCCGGATCACTATCTGATGGAAGAAGCACTCCTCATCACCCCATGACGATGAAACCTCCAGGGGTTCTCAACCTACTCCTCAAAAGCACAGCACTAATTCTGAGATTTAATGTGGTACGAGGAGTGACAAGGATCTCCTATCCTCACAGGAGTGACAGGGATTCCCTTATCCTCACAGGAGTGACAAGGATCCCCTATCATCATAGGAGTGACAAGGATCTCCTATCCTCACAGGAGTGATAGGGATTCTCCTATCATAATAGGAGTGACAAGGATCTCCTATCCTCACAGGAGTGACAGGGATTCCCTTATCCTCACAGGAGTGACAGGGATTCCCTTATCCTCACAGGAGTGACAGGGATCCCCTTATCCTCACAGGAGTGACAGGGCCCCCCATATCCTCAAAGGAATAATGGTAGGCTTCCCTAAGGCTTGTCAAACATCTGTTGTGCTTAGTAATGAGTGGCGAGGAACTCCTGTTCTCACCCACCCTCTCTTTCTCATTTAGCTCATGATCTGGAATGTTGGCCTTGCGGGTGCTGTCGTGTGCGCTTACTGAAGTGCCCCAAGTAAAGGAACAGTTGTCTAAGGGAAATAAAATAATAAAAAAAAGGGAAGACAGTCATTTAGTAAATAGCAGAATATACAGAAAGAAGTTAATTACTGTAGCTGAACTCTGTATAGCCCTTGTGGTTTAGCGCTTCTTTTTGATTTTAATAATAATGTAGCTGAACTTTCGAAACTAAATGTGAGATGTGTTCTTTTCGTTTTATTCTGGTATCAAATTCAAGTTTCAGTCAGGTTTGATAGGAACAGTTGAGAGATGAGGAAAAGACGAAAGTAACAGAGAAGAAAGCAAAAGAGCTGTAACTGAGATGAAACGAATGGCTGTTGCTAGGAGGAAAATCCACCCATTATGGGGTCTTGTGATAAACATTAGATGTGATTATGTCGTGTCCCATACAAGTCCCAAAAGCCGGGTCTTATGTGTTCTACCGTTTTCACTGTGAGATTTAGGTCATTTAAATGAATATGTACTGTATATATATATATATATATATATATATATATATATATATATATATATATATATATATATATATATGCTAAAATCATAATAAAGGAAAAAATATCTTGCACACGGTGTTATCAGCAATTAAAAGTGAACGGATCCAGGTTATGGAGGACACCAGCCATTAAGGAAAGTGCTACACAGATGCCTCTGCTCACCTGTGAATATATGCAGATGGATACATTTTAGTAAAGATTACGTTGAGTGGGTTAATAGTAGATACATCGTTCAGTGTTTGAATTCCCAGCATGAAGGTGGGGATTTTGTTCAATTTGTCATAGCATGTATAGGTGGCGAGGTAATTCTTAGGAGGCACAGTCAAGGAATGGATGGATTTTGCAGTATGGTTTGTGTAACTAATTTAGTATTTTCTGATATGGGAAATTAGGTATACTGTTCCATGTTTTGTTAGATAAAACATATATTTTTAAGAGGAGCCACAGTAATCACTGCATATAAATAAACCATGTGATGGCATTCTTAATGTTTGCTGATTTAAAAATACAAGTATTCTTTAACGCATGTTATCTGCAGTACCTTCACATTCAACCTACACAGAAATATTGTTGA